ACACAGTGGTATCGAAATACAAGGCTCAGAGAGCAGCGAGGCTAGACATGGAAGGACATTTGCACTGAACCCGACGAGCAGTGGTGCCTCAGTAGGATCAGTGGTTACTGGAAATAGTAGAGAAGCCCTCCCATGGCAGTAGTGTTAAGCAAGACAGAGTTATTTCCTCCTTAGGAAGAGGTACGTAGGCATTAGGAGATCTGGGCACAGCCCACGTAGGGCTGGCATGGTAGCTCTAGGATGTTGTCCAAGCCAAGGCTCCTCCGGGTCTCTTCTCTTTCTTGCCAACCCAAGCAGTAGCAACTGACCCCAAGTGCAACGTCATGAATAGAAGAACGAAAATGGTAATACAACTGTCAAACAAGAGAGCTGAATTCTCGTAGTATATAGTTGAGTCAACAGAGAATGACTGAAGTTGACAATAAAAAATAGTGTCTACGTATTTTTATCTATCAATCATCTATCCATCCATTTATCTGTCATTTGCCTATTTTATTTCTAGAGTTGGCTGTCAGAAGTGAATAAACAAGGACAGTCTTTCTGTAGGTCGGGTTGAGGGTGGGGCTGGTCTCTGGTTTTCCTGGTTCTTGTCTCCCTGAGATTGTCCAGGGGTGCGCTTCCTTTAAGTATCCTTTTTTGGTCATTTATGTGACTCTTACTTGAAACAAAAGTACCCACCTTGGGACCCCCAACTCCTTCTGCTTTAGGGACCACCTATCTGGGTCGTATCCCACTCAACCACGCAAACTGGAGCCCCGTTGTTGAATTGCAGTGGCAAGGACGAGGTTGATGGAACTCAGGCTCTAGGAGTCTCTGGGTTCAGGAGGCTGTGGTTGTATGGCTGGAGCCAGCTCAGGGCAGGGGGTCCTGGAACCCATGAGGCACTGTCCTCTGGCCTCAGAACTTATATGGTTCACAAATGGCTCTTATCTATTGTTTCCAAAGGGTAATGAGGAGTAGCAGCTGCTGTGCCCACAGCCTCAGAGGACATGGCACATGTGCAGACGGAGGGATGCTCCTGACACTTGCCATACATCCCCGGGTGGCAGCGTTACGATAGGAGATGAGTCTGGGGATTCCCGGCCTGTTGGAATGGTCTAGCCAACTGCTCTGGCCATTGGCTTTTTAATGACTTGTCTAGTACTTCCAAGTCCAGTATGGGATATGGCCCTCATGGTTCAACCGGCTGTTGTCATTTCCAACCAAACTAGACACCCTGGTTTCACACTAAACCACCTTGGTTCCACTAAACCCCCAGGAGACTGGAACAAGGCTGCAGACAAAGCCAGGGTCATGTACAAGACCCCCTGAGGCAGGCAGAAGACTGATGGAAAAGACTCTGGGCATGGGCCCAGGCCTGGGGTAATCCTGCAGCCTGCGCCCTGCTTCCAGCAGCCTGGGAATGAGGGTGCCCTGCCCAGGCCCCTTTACTGGTGACCCATCCCCCAGGTGCTGTGAGTTAGTTATCTCACAACCACCCCTTTTCCGAAGAATTGCCCTGAGTCAAATGGAGGCCTCCTAATCCCTCCCCAGTCCTTGGCCCATGACCAAATGGTCTAGCCTGGCCTCAAGGTATGACTAACCTATGGGCAAGTTCGTGTTCCAGAGTTTTCCTGTGGAACCCAACTAAAGCCAGATTCTAGTCAAAACCACACTTCTATTTTTACCCTTGCCTTATTTGGTATCTCTTCCTCCCCTTCTGCCAAGAGCACCCCATCCCATGCAAATCACTTGAACAGGAATCCCCACCTCAGGCTAAAGAATGTACCTGAGACCATCAGGTGTCCTGCTGTGTGGACTCTGCCATTGGAAAAGAACTTTCACTGGGGCTCTTCTTTTCTTTCAGGACAAAATGTATGTGTTTGTAGCAGTTGGAGTCAAATTACTCAGGTTCAGCGTGTGATTGTCCAGCATATCAGCCCCTGCAGAATTCTTGCTGGGTCTTAGGAAGTTGCTCAGAGACACAGTATCCCAGATTTCACGGGGTCTGACCAGAAAACACAATTTAGAGCCGTCAGCTTTAAGTGTGAGCCCAGAATCCAGGTGCCAAGCAGCTGGCGAGGTAGAAACATGGGGTGGACAGTTTGGATGCCCGATCCAGAACTCCCAGATACAAACATGTAGCATGATGCCCCATGGTTCTACTTGGGACTGTTCAACTTCTCCATGATGGCTCCATTTATGGCGGTGGTCCCCTCGTCACACACCTGCATGGAGGACAGGTGGGGAGAAACAGTGGCCAGGACGGACCTTCTTGGATTATTATAATGGTTCATCAAGACCACACAGGTAGAGGCTATAGCCCAGCCTGGAATATGCCAAGCTTCTCCCATCTCTTGGAACTATAGAATCCATCCCGGGGCCAGTCACATGCTGCTCTTCTCCAAGGTGTGAGACCCTGGTGTCTCTCCTTTCCCTCAAGGTGGAGTGGTTGACACAGATCTCTACTCTTGCCCCTGAAAACCATCTTGTCAACACTCATCCTGTGGGAGACACTCAGCACGGCCTCCTGACCCACAAGGTGGCCAATGTTTAGCTCCTGGGATGGGCTCAGGCTCTCCACAAACCCCCATGGCCATGAAGTGAAGGGAATTGGATCCAGCCTTTGGAATATGAAACTTGCTTCTACAGGAAGAGTGAAATGGAAAGGAAATGTTTCAGAATGAGTCATGGTGTGTGACTGGCAGGTGCTCACAGGAGGAACAGTTGGTACTAGTCAGAGGAGAGGCAGAGGCGAGTCTATGTCTTTCATTCCATGGCTCGATGTTATCGGTGGAACTCCACCTGGGTGGAGGGAAGCAAGCTATGCCTGGAAAGTTCCAATGTCTAGATGTGACACTCAGAGGTGTTCATTTTTGTTCTAACAATTGTATGTAATTTGTGAAGCCCTACTGATCAGTACCTTTCCTATAGACACTACTGGTCTGTGGTAGATTCATTTTATTGGCTGCTCCCAGGAGGCATAAGGTCCTCCTTGTGGAAACTTCTATAAAAATATCAGCCTTGGGCTCCTGGGTGGCTCAAATCTGACTCCGACTTTTGATTTTGGCTCAGGTCATGGTCTCAGGGTCCTGGGATGGTCAGTACCTATGCTCAGAGGGGTGTCTGCTACTCCTTTCATCTCCCTCTGCCTCTGCCCCTCCCCTCAGTCTCTCAGAAATAAATAAATGCAAAATCTTTAAAAAAAAAAAAAAGGCTTTGCTCTAAAGCTCAGTGGGGGTCCCATGAGACCACTTCTCTGACAGAGGAGAGGAGGGAACAATGAAGGACTTGTTTTTGCCTATGTAATGAACCAGCTTCTCAGCTGTGACTCAGTGGCAGCTCTGGGCCAGCAAGGCCATGGAGATCCTAATTAGTAGCGCCCATGTCCCCTGTGGATGACACATGGAAAATGGTGCACCTCAGAGGGGGGTTATAGCCTTTGGTATAAAATCTGTCAAAGCTAGAGACGTCATCCTTGAAGCCAAGAGGATGACGTGAATTACGACCTATCTTGGTTTGTAGAACATCTTAACTTGACCCAACTGAAAAGAAAATGTCTCAGTCTCTCCTTACGTAAGAAGCTGACAGGGGGTGGAAGGGCAGAGGGATAGAACAACAAGGGAAATGTTCAATGAAATGAACCATGAGGGAAATAGACTTCCCAAAATAGCAACCAGTTCAATATTTAGAGATAGTGATCTCTTAACTGTTCAGGGAAACTTCCCTCTGCGTGGGTGTGGGACCAGGTGTCCTTATTTGCCCAGCTGACATAGATGAGCCCCAGAGTCATCCTCTCATTCTTTTGGGTAAAGGCTATTTGTGCCCATCTGTTCCCAATGAATGAGCAGGGGCAAGGGGTGGACTATATATCAGGGGACTCTTGGAGAGTCATGCCAAGCCAGCTAGGGTGGTGGTGGCCTGGGGAAGGGGGTGGGGGAAAGGCTTTGGACTGCTTCCTTCCCTTGTGAACACCTAGACATGTGGTAGAGTTGCTAGGAAGAATGCCATGCTCTAAGTCTTGGGAGAGTCCATTCCCCAAATTTATAAAATTTATATGAGTTACATTTTTTATACTAGAGGTTATAAAAGCCTAAACTGTTTCTTCCACTTTTGTAGTTTGCCCTGTGTATCCAGAATTTTTATGTGCCTTCGAGTTTAGAATATTTCTGCCACGACTATAGGAAGCCCATCTCTCAGTGCCCCGAGGACAGGAAACATCGTATGGGATCAGCGGCTGTCCTTTCTGTCAACCAGCTGAGGAGTAAGAGACAGAAGCAGGTTTAGAAGAGAAGGATGACAGGCTCCTGTTTATGGAATCTGACAGCGAGAGCCTCTCTTGTTGTGTACGGCCTGGACACGGGAAAAGGTGCCACGGAAGGGCCTCATCGGGGAACAGCCGAGGAGGAGTGTGAGCACAGTCATGAGCCAAGAGTGACAAGACCGGGGAACATGCCTTCTGGTAACGTCTGCCTCTGACAGTTCCGAATGGCTCACTCACCGGCCCTACGAACGTTCTCTTTCTTCTCTCAGAGCCTGGCAAGGAGAAGGGATGCTCTCCCGCTCTGGCCAAGAATTCCCCCGACACAGGAAGCGGCCCCAGGGAAAGCACACCAGAAACAGGTGTGTGGCTGCCTCTGACAGAGTGGGACGTGAGTGGGAGAGGTAGAGCAGGCTCTTCCGTGCAAATCCTTTCAAGTGCTGTTTTGTTTTGATTGGAAGGGAAAACACACACACACACACACACACACACACACACACACACTGATACAGGAAAGTAGGTAGATAGAGACATAGAGAGATGTGGTCCTTGCCTCTGCCCTGGACCCAGCGTCCCCAGCTCAGTCCCTGGCTTCCCTCCCCCATTCCCGACCCCATGATGGGACAGACCTCAGAGACCACCTCCTCAAGAGGCAGACATGCAGAGGGTCAGCTGAGGTCACTCAGCTAGAGGGTGGGGACAGCCAGGATCCCCAAGGTCCTCTAGCTCTGGGTTTTTCCCCGGGGATGTGGGAGCTGCTCACCCCAACCTATCCAGCCTCCCAACCCCCAGCCTGGGGCTCTCGGCCAAATTCCACCTTAAAAAGCATTTGACTTCTGGGATCCAGGATTATTTGAGGGGATCTGGGGTCACTCCTCCAGACTCTCTCAGCTTGGAGAAGGAGAGCAGTGTCAAGGCATCCCTGAGAAGGACCCTGTGACAGTGATGACACCCGCCAGCCTGACGGCACCAGGCTCTCTGCCAAACACCTCCCCTGCTTTAGCTCCTTGAAGCCCCATCAATATTTATTTCTGAGGTAGGTACTGTAACCCCCCTTGTTAACTTGAAAGAAACAAGTTAACTTTCAGAGTCTTCAAGGTCTAGCTCAGGGTTCAAACCATGACACACTGCCTATGAAATCCATGTTTTAGATCAGGGCACACAAAAATGTCAAGGGTTTTAGGTGCAGCACAGGGAATGTTTGCCAGCAAGCTTGGCTGCTGCTAGCTGAGCTGTACCCTGTGGCTTTCCTCTGGGTGCCAAGAGAAACCAAGAGAGGAGGGGAGAGGTGAAGAGGGAGGAGGAAGGGGGAGTTGGAGGGGAGGGGAGGGCAGGGGGAAGAGGCTAGAAGCAGGCAGAAACAGAGAAGCAGGTGCAGGCTCACCGGGGCTTGACCAGGCCCTCTGCTGGGACAGCTCCAAGCCCATCCCTGGGGGGCCGCCCACGGAGACGGGCGTCCTTTAGGATAAGCCAGGTGATGCCTTGGACACTGAGTTTACAATCAAGGCAACACAGGAGTCCCCAACAGAGTGGGGCAGGGTGTGGATCTCTGCCCCAGATGGCAAGAAAGCTGGTGTAGTCTCAGCCCCCTTTGAAAAAGCAGTAACATAAAGGAAAAGTCTGGAGAACAATCCCACAGATTCCAGGTCGCCTTCAGGGAGCTCAGCTTCGAGGGGTCTTTAACTGGCTGTTGTCTGTTTATCTCTACACAGTGTTCCATGAAGCACATGTAATGCTTTGGTAATCACAGCGACGGACAAAAAATGTTTTTAAAGACAAAGGGCACCCCCCCCCCCACCATCCATCACCCTCTCCAAACATCTAGAACAACCGGTGTACGCAGGTAACCCTCCAGCCTGTGTTACCAGGAAATGTTTATGCATCACATGGGGTTTTGTCCCGAGTGCACATTATTAATTATTAAAGACATGTCGTCCACCCTGTCAGAACAGTTTAATGTTTAGTTGGGGGACTGAAACATTAATGTGTTTGTCCCTTGACTTCACATACTTTTGCTTAGGTGTCGACTAAAAAAAAAAAAAAAAAGAAGAAAGAAATGATTACATGGTTTGTTAACTAACTGGAATTTAAATAAAAATTTGAAAAGAAAAAGAAACAAATTACTTATATGAGAAAGAAGAAAAAGAAAAGAAAGAGAAAAAGAAAGAAAGGAAGGAAGGAAGGGAGAAAGAAAGAAAGAAAAAAAGAAAGAAAGGGAGGGAGGGAGGAAGAAAGGGAGGGAAGAGGAAAGGAGGAAAGAAGAAAGGTGGCCAAACTGTGTGATTTCATTCCATTGTCCTGACGTTTTGGAGGCTTGGACATGAGCCGCCGTTGCTGTTTGTGACAGCAGCCTGGTTTCCCTACCTTTGAGTGCGGGGAAAGAGCTTGCTGTCAGAATCACTAATTCCGTGAGGAAGGGGGCCTGGGGAGATGCGAGATGAAAAGCAAACACGCATGATCCTCCAGCCTGGGTGACCTCGAGGGCCAGTGGAGAAGCGGGCCACGGGCTGGGTGGGGATGAACGTCAAAGAATGAGAATAGTGAAGACAGGCTTCCTGGAAGAGGTGGGCCCATGTGGGACCTGGAAGAGTAAAGAGGAGGGCATCTCAGAGGAGGAAGGCAGATGAAGTTTAAAAGCAGGAGCCCAGCAGGCCAGGCCCAGAGTGGGACCCACTGGCTCTGTTTCCCTTCTCCCTGAGAGCGGTTGGGGTCCCTGCCCCGGCCACCGCCATGGGCTCTGGAGAGGGCACCTCTCCAGCTCTGGATGGAGCTAGGTGGGAGGCCCAACTTCCTGGGCTTTGGACTCTGCCCAGGAACCTGCACTGAAAAGAGAAGACGGGCCGAAGTGCAAGGAGGTCAAAGTCATCTTGTCCCCGTGGATATACACGCTCCTGTCCAGGCCCGAAAGTAACTCGTTCACCACAAATACGTGAGTAGGACGGGGGTCCTGCCTATCTCTGGTGGCTGTGCGTCTGCCTGTATGCACTGGTAGCTAGGTACTCCTGGGCTCTGCCTGTCTGTGTGCTTGCACACGTCTCCCTGCTCGCGTGGGCACCCATGTGTATGTGCTTCTCACTGTGTGAGCTTAACCAGGCTGGGGTTTGGATCGAATAGGGTGCTCCCCAAGGGGAAGAAACAGAGAGGAGACAGGAGTGGAGAGAGATGGGGTCTTAACTCGGGCTCTTATTCAGATGAGTTAAGCCTATGAACTTTAGCAAAAAAAAAAAGGACTATGTTGGCTCTCAGAAGTGAAAAGTCCAGTGGGAGGGCTAGTTTCAGGTCTGGTTGGAAGAGTCAGGGCCTGGAAGAGTCTTTGGGATATTATTTTTCCAGCTTTCAGGGGTGGGACAGTATAATATGGTGAAGCTATCCCTTAGTGACAACTTTAGTCTTTAACCTGCTGTGGGAGTGATGAAAGCTAGAGCCTCTTTTACAGAATCCCTTCCTTGACCTCCCCATGAGACAGACAGAATTTGCAAGGGCTTGGGCCCCATGGGTTCAGAAGTGAGTGGAGGAAGGGGTACCTTCCCCTGTGGCCCCCCAGGCACATGGAGGGTTGAACTCTGGGATGATCAAAGCAGCACCAGGTGTCTACTCCCCATTTCCATCCCTCTCCCATCCTCTTCCCTTCTCCAGGCCCCCTCCCTGGGTCCTGCCTCACCTTTTGCTTTCAGCTTTGGGCCCTGACTTTGTCTTTCAGCTGGAAGGTCTGACACATGGAAGACAAGACACCAAAACCAAGAGAGTCCATCTCGCTCACATCTGTGGCTAATGGTCTGGAGAACATGGGGGCTGAGTTCTTGGAAAGCCTGGTCTGTCTTCTTCCCCTTCCCTATTTTGGCTCCCTTGTGGGAGGGCTCTTTGCACACCATCTTCCTTCACCCCCCTACCTCTTTGCTTGAAAACTTAGGGAACCCCCAACATGTTGGCCTCCTCCACACAGGGCAGCCCATTTGTTTCGCTCATTAACGCCATGTTGTGCCCCTGCAGTGTACCGGGACTACCTGCCCTGGTTGGAAGGGACGTTTGAGCTGTGATCTAAGAAACAAGGAGAGACCACGTGATCAGAGGTGGGGTGGGGGTAGAGCTCTTTTGGGGCCACAGCCTTTAAGAAGCTGGCCATCTTGTCCTTGCTCTGCAATGGCCAAGTAGAGTCCTACCCCCCAGAACTCTGGAGCTAAATATGGCACCCTTTTCCCTCCCCACTGTTCCCAGCACATGCCCCTGTCCCTTCAGCACAACGTGCAGCACCAGGGTGTTCCTTTCACACTGTCCTCTGCAAGAGGAGCCTCTACCCCCCAAAACACAACTCTGCAGACAAACGGAGGGCAGATGGCATCCTGGGGCCATGCCATGAGTTGGACCCGCCTGTGGCTTCCCCAACGGCTGCCACTGAGGTTCCAGGGTCCCTCCTGCGTGCAGACTATGGGCTCCCTGAGGGTAGGATGTGTCTGGTAATGAGTCCAGCACACAGTAGGCACTCAATGTGTGCTTTGCAGAATTTAATGAAGTTGTCCTCTAATGACTTCCTGTGTGAAAGCCCAGCCGCCACCCCAGCCCCCTCCTAAGGTGCCCATGGTCATGCAGGTACCAGCCAGGGTCTCTCTCCACTCTCACTGTTTCCTCTCTGGTGGCTTTAGGAGGAAGGCCGGACCCCTGGTGACGTCTCAAGCCCTGTAGAGGGTGGGGACAGCTGGACCGAGACCCGCCCGGAGCCCTTCTCAGGCTGGTAGGTGGTCTCCAGGAGGGACCTTGGCCCGGGGCGGAGGTAACTGTGGGGAGCGGGGACAGGAACCTGGCCTGCTGACAATAGGGAGGGGCTCCCAGAATCTTTGTCACAGAAAGGAGCAAACATGCTTTAGCCAACAAATGAGCACTGTGGGCAGTGGTGACCCAGGCCAGGAGCTCCCAACCTGCCTTGAAGTGGCTGGAACGAAGTCCCTGCAGGGACCTCAGTATATCCTGTGGGGCTGTTCTGACTGAAGCTGGCTGGGGCCCCCGAACCAGCCTGACCCACCCCGCAACCTCTCCATCTACCTGCTACCCCATTTAGTCTCTGGGGCATTGCTGGAAACCTCGAGACTTGGTTTGAAACCCCCTGAACTGGTCTGGTCCCCTCATTTCCCATGGGGTGGCTGAAGCCCTGAGAGGAAGAGAGACGGGCCCTGGCCACACAGGCAGCAAGTTGGAGCCTAGAACTCGGTCTCTGGATGCCCAGGCTCGCAGGGGTCCCCCCTGGCCAGATCCTGAGCTGAGCAGAGCGGGAGGAGGAGGGTGGTGGAGGGGAGGTGGGGAAAGGCTGGAAGTGGGGACAGGGACAGGAGGGGCGTCCCTAAAATAGCAGCTGGTGGCTGAAGTGAGCACCTCCTCCATGCCCAGCCTGTGGGGCCCCAGAGGCCATCCCAGGGCCCTCCTTTCCTCCCGAGATAGGCAGCCAGGTGACCAGGCAAGAGCTGGCATTTGCACTGGGCAGGAAGGCGGGTGCTGGGGGGCACTGCGGGCATGAAGCGGGCTTTCACAGGCTGCGACGGGCTGCAACCCAGGTGGTGAGTCTCCCGTCCCTGGGAAGAATGCGGAGCTGGCAGCCTCCCCGACCAACCCCGGGCTCCGCAGACAGGTGGGCATGGGAGGGGCAGGCCGCGCGCGCCGTCCTGGTTTGCGCATGTCTGCGGCGGCCCGTTCCGCCTCAGCATCCGGGTCACATCCCTCCCGAGCCCGAGGGCCGCGTTCTGGGGCGGGCGGCGCGGCCGGTCCGGGCCATTTCTCTGTTGGCTCTGGGGTCCTGTGACGTCGAGACCGGCGCCCCGCTTCGCCCACGCCTCCATCTCGCTGGGGATGTGCCTGAGTGGCTTCTGCCCAAGGTGTTGGCAGAAGAACCTGCCGGTTCCCCCCCGCCTCCCGCAGGAGGAGCCTGTCGCCAGCCCTGAGGGCCCGACGCTTCTGCAGGGAGCACGCGCCGCTCTGTCGATGGATCTGCACCGGCCTGCTCTGTGCCGGTGAGCCTGGGGCCCCGCCCCACCTGGGAGACAGCCCTGCCCCCCCCCGCGCCCCCCCCCCCCGCCCAGTGCCCACCACCCAGCCATCCATGTCCCAGGGCACCCACTTCTCCAGTAATTCAGGGCCGGCTCCGGGCCAGAAGCTGGGATAGCAGAAGGAAGCCAGGTCAGGTCTTGTCCCCAAGGTCCTCTCTGCTCAGCCAGGGAGAGGGGAGCTAATATTTTCCCATGACGCAGCCAGCCAGCTAGGAACGCCAAGGAGGGATGGGAGTGATTGGGGAGGACTTCCAGGAGGCGGTGACATTCAGGCCTCAGCAGTCGAACAGGAGCCAGCCAGGTGCAGCAGCAGGACGATAAGGGGTGAGAAAGCACTCCATGCAGGAACCCCAGGAGCAGAGGTGAAGCCCGGCATGGTGCGGGCAGGCTGCTCAGGGACCTGAATGTTACCCCAGAGCCAGAGAGTACCACTGAGAGATTGAACAGGCAGGCGTTGGGGCGGGATCCACACTGTGGAAGCCTGGGAGAGGGAGGCAGGGAGGACGAGGAGGTGGTGAGGGCGGCAGTCCATGGGTGGGAAGACAGAGTGTAGGGGACGGGGAGGCCCTGGGGAATCTACTTCTCCAGCAAACCTGGAAGCCCAGCAAATGTGCAGGGTGAAGGATGTCCTGGAATCCGGGGTGCCTTGGGGTTCTAGTCAGGCAGTCAGGTGCATGATGGGACCTCCACAGCCGGGGAACACAGGAGTAGGCAGCTTTGGCAGGAGGAGGGACGGCCGGTTGTTTGGGACAGGGTGCTGACGCCACCACAGCCAGGCCTCGGAGGAAGGGAGGGGCTCCCCAGGGACACCTGGAGAATGAATCGAGCATCGGGTCAGTGACGGCAGCCTGGGGACCAGCCGCACAGAGGGTGTTGGCAGAGGAGGGGGCAGAGCGAGCCTGAGGGGATGTGGGCATGGGGGTGGGGGACGGGAGACTCAGGAGCCCCGGGGGTAGGGGTGGTCAGGAGAGGTGGAGGGCTCCTCTGCGGAAAGTGGGGCTGTGGAACAGGGACGGGGCGG